TTTCAAGTTTGTCTTTTATCTCTTTAAAAATGGTAAAACTAGGGGGCTGGCCCAGTGGTGTAGTGGTTAAGTTCATGCACTCCGCTTCAGTGGTCTGGAGTTCACAGGTTCGGATCCCAGGCACGGACCTATGCACCATTTATCAAGCCATGCTGTAGCAGGCATCCCACATATAAAGTAGAGGAAGATGGGCACAGATGATAGCCCAGGGCCAATCTTCCTCAGCAAAAAGAGGAGGACTGGCAACAGATGTTAGCTCAGGGCTAATCTTCCTCACCAAAAAAAAAAAAAAAAAAAAAGGTAAAGCTAGTTCTCTACTATAATCTGAATCTGGTATTGGAGATCTTTGTGATTCTGTTTGTTGTCTCTGCTGGTTCTTGATCATGACGTCTTGATTCTCTGTGTGCCTGATTATCTGTGACTGTATGCTGGACATTATATGTGAAAAATTATTTGTAGGAATCATTTGCAGCCTATAATGATAATATCTTCCTCCAGAGAGGACTGTTTTTCTTACCTTAGTTTAAGTTTAAGGCTGAGGTTCTGCAAAGCATCCAGATATTAGAAGCCCAGCTGCAAGTCTGTGACAAGAGGGGCTCACTTCCAGTTCACTCTTGCCCTAAGGGCATTGCATTTGAGGGTCTCAGTTTAAAGGGGAAGCGGGGCTCTACTGTTGGTGGGCTCTGGGCTTTGACTTTTCTCCTTCTAGACCAAAGGTGCTCAACCTCAGCACTTTGACATCTCAGGCCAGATAATGCTTGATGAGGGGCTGTCAGGTGTTTAGCACCCTCCTGGCCTCCACCCACTAGATGGCAGGAGGGCACCCATTCTGAGTTCTGACAATCAAAAATGTCTCCAGGTCTTGCCAAATGTTCCCTGGAGGGCAAAATCACTCTGATTGATAACCACCCCTATACACTTCCAAAGTCACCAAAACTCCAGCTGTTTCACAGCTGCTCCTTTGGGATTACCACGTGCTCTCAAGGCACAAACAGCTGAGTGCTGTACTTATTTCCCTGGGCACTTTCCTTCTCCCAGATAAGGCCCAGTAATTCTCCTTTTTTCTTGTTACTGTATGATGCTCTCAAGATTTTTTTTAATACTGTGTCTCTTTTTAAGTTGTTTTCAGTGAAAGAGTTGGTCTAAGTCTGCATCATCATCCAAAGTGGCAGCTTCTAGCCACACGTGGCTACTAAGCACTTGAACTGTGGCTGGCAAACTGAGTGTGCTCTAAGTGTAAAATACACACGAGATTTCAAAGACTTGGTGTGAAAAATAACTTTTTTTATTGACTACATGTTGCAATGATAGTATTTTAGGTATACTGCGTTAAATAAAATATATTAAGATTAGTTTCACCTGCTTCTTTTTACTTTTTTTTAATGTCCCTACTAGAAAATTTGGGGGGCCAGCCCGGTGGCGCAAGCGGTTAAGTGCGCACTCCGCTGCGGAGGCCCGGGTTCACTGGTTCGGATCCCAGGCGCGCACTGATGCACCGCTTGTCAAGCCATGCTGTGGTGGCACCCCATATAAAGTGGAGGAAGATGGGGACGGATGTTAGCCCAGGGCCAGTCTTCCTCACAAAAAGAGGAGGATTGGCAGATGTTAGCACAGGGCTGATCTTCCTCACACACACACACAAAAAAAGAAAATTTGGAATTATGTGTGTATTTGTGACTTGCATTATATTTCTACTGGACAGTACAGTCTAAATTATCTCATCTACTGTAACTGGAAGTAGAAGTTCCCCAGAGTGCACATTTCTGCAGTGAGCAAGTTGGTTTTCTCTCATCTGCTACCAGTCAGGGCACACACATGCTCAATAAACACCAGCTGGTTAACAGGTAAGAGGCAGCCTCCCACCCTATCTAGGAGGGCTTAGCCTAGACAGGCATGAAGGTGGAAGAAACCAAAGTCTTGTTTGTCCCAAAACATCTATACAGATGGTGTGAAGATCTACCATCTGCAGGGCCATCACCTCTTTTTATAATAAGAACGTGATTAATATTTGTTAGGCACTCACTTTCTGTCAAGGAATTTATATGTATTTCTTCATATAGATACAATTAGCGTAGCAGACATGGACTCTCCCTTCAGTAAGGGACTGGAGCTGCCAAGAGTGTGGTTAGCGACAGCGGTTAGCTCCGTCAGGGTCTGCCTTCCTCAGCTCTTAACGGGGCCGTACGAGGGCTCAGCCCCATTTCCACCTAACACCAGACTCCTCTAACAGGCAATCTTCACTCCAAAGCTCCCTAACCAGCTAGTGACAACTTCAGCAGACCAGCATCTCCATCTGAGGCTTCCCGAGCCCTCTCTGACCCTGCTTCCTCCTCTACTTTTAACTAGTGGTCCTCTCTAATAAAACTCTGTCCTCCAATCCCATCTCAGGGTCTGCTGAACGGAGAACCCAGCCTGAGGTAATCAGTATCCCATTTTACAGCTGAGAAAAAAGACACAGAAGGGTAAGTAACTGGACAAAGTGACACAGCAAATAAGCATCAGGGCAGGGATATGAATGTGGGCATAGTCAGGGCAACCTCACTCTTCACCACCACGTGACATCCCCTCCCTTTAAGAAGCAACGAAAGTTAATAGACACCTCACCACACAAGATGTACAGATGGCAGATAAGCACATGAAAAAATGCTCCGCATGACAGGTCATCAGAGAAATGCAAGTTAAAACAAGAGTAAGATATCACTACACACCTACGAGTGTGGCCAAAATCCAGAACGCTGACAACATTAAATGCTGACGAGGATGTGGAGCAACAGAAACTTTCACCCTTTGCTGGTGGGAGTGCAAAACAGCACAGCTACTTTGGAAGGCAGTCTGGCAGTTTCTTACAAAACTAAACATACTCTTACCATACAATCCAGCAATCACACTCCTTGGTATTCACCCAAAGGAGCTGAAAACTTATGTCCACAGAAAAACTTGCACACAGATGTTTACAGTAGCTTCATTTATAATTGCCAAAACTTGGAAGCAACCAAGATGCCCTTTACTAGGCGGATGGATAAACCATGGTCCCTCCAGACAATGGAATATCATTCAGCACAAAAAAGAAATGAGCTATCAGCCGTGAAAAGACATGGACGAACCTTAAATGTATATTATTAAGTGAAAGAAGCCACTCTGAAAAGGCCACATACTGTATGATTCCAACTGTAAGACATTCTGGAAAAGGCAAAACTATGGAGAGAATAAGAAGATCAGCGGTTACCAGGGGTTAGTGGAGAGGGAGGGACAAATAGGCGGAGCACACAGGATTTGTAGGGCAGTGAAACTACTCTGTATGATACTGGAATGGTGGATACATGTCACTATACATTTGTCCAAACCCATGGATTCACCAAGAGTGAATCCTGATGTCAACTGTGGACCTTGGGTGATTATGATGTGTCAATGTAGGTTCATGGATTGTAATAAATGTCCCACTCTGGTGGGGGATACTGATAATGGGGAAGCTGTGCGTGCAGGGGGGCAGGGGGTATATAGGAAATCTCTGCACCTTCCTCTCAATTTTGCTGTGAACCTTAAATTGCACTAAAAAAAATAAAGACTCTTATATATTATATAAGTCTTTGTTAAAAAAAGATAAATAAAAAATTTTTCTAAAAGCAATGCCAGTTATAGACACCACCCCCACCTGCCCAAAAATCAAATATATATAAGCAAACCATTTCACATACAATTTCAGGAGTTTCATAGACCTTCCAGAGGATCCTTGGGCCTGGTTAAAAATATTAACCATAATACTTTCCCTAGGGCTCAACAGGGGATATACCAATTGGTAACAGCTCTAATTCTACCAGTTTTTGCATCACCTGATAACACACAATATCCATTCTCAAGCCCTGAAAAAGCATCCATTCCAAGAAATTCTGTCTTCCGCCTGTTACTACGGTTCCTCAGAGTTCAGTCCTAGCCCTCTCCTCTACTCATTGTTCCTGGACAATTTTAGCCACTCTCACGGCTAAAGTCTACTCAGAGACTTGAACTGGGTCTCAAACCTATAAAAATTAACTGAAAAACTAAGGCTTAAAAGATTAACCAGCCTTTCACAAATACGTCCTCAAGACTGAAAATCTACATTTTACAATTCTTCAAAATGAGGATGTTCAGGGAAGGTGTACCCCCCAAACTAGCTTACAAAGAGGCAGTCTACCTGGTGGATCAGGTAACATGGTACGTTAGTCATTTCATCAACACAGAAAACACTTCGGGGCCGGCCCCATGGCTTTGTGGTTAAGTGCGTGCGCTCCTCTACTGGCGGCCCGGGTTCGGATCCCAGGCACGCACCGACACACTGCTTCTCCGGCCATGCTGAGGCCACATCCCACATATAGCAACTAGAAGGATGTGCAACTATGACATACAACTATCTACTGGGGCTTGGGGGGGAGGGAGGAGGATTGGCAATAGATGTTAGCTCAGAGCCGGTCTTCCTCAGCAAAAAGAGGAGGATTAGCATGGATGTTAGCTCAGGGCTGATCTTCCTCACCAAAAAAAAAAAAAAAAAAAAAAAAAAGAAAAGAAAGAAAGAAAACACTTCAACACAGGAAGTGCTTAGATTACTTGATAATACTCCAAACAAATAATAAGCGGCCTCAGGTAGAGCATTTCTTCATTTGAGATGCCCACTTTGAGCCCCTAACGCATCAGGTCTGTGGCTCACACCACTCCTGGCCCTTGTGGAGAAGAGGCCGTGAATGGAAGGAGCTGCTCTGTATTAGTGTCCTTCCAGCTCCAGGAAAAAACCAGGTCCCTGGACGGGGCCACACTATCTGATCCAGTGCATATAAACCATCAAACAACTTAAGAATAATCAACGGCTTAACTTTAAACACTTTTTAATTTTAACAGAGCCATGATAGTAACTATACCAAGAACTTAACTTTGGTTTGAAGTGAAAAAAAAATGATATTAAAAGATTAAGCTCCTACTATATGAAATTTACAACAAAACGTTTCACGACAAAGGTTAAACACACTTACCTTTAAATTTTGATCTAATGTTTGCCAGCTCTTTGTTTATTCTCTTTATTTCTGCTTCTTTACTTTTGCCTAAAAAGAGAGAACACAAATACATTCTTACTTTAATTGATTTCTAAACACTTTAATTGATTTCTAAACAAACACCCATTCACTGACAAGACCGACATATCCCAATTAAAGGCAGAATCACTGCTTTTAGGAGCCCACGGAAAGAAGCAATCGGCCTCCAACCAAAGCCAGTGCGGAGGCAGCTGAGGCAGAAGCCTGGGCCCTGACCCAGCCCAGTGTGGCCTTCCCAGGTCAGGGTGGGGAAAGTCCATAAGCGCCACACAGGAAAGCAGCCACTACACACGGGGAGGGGATCTCTGGCGCCATTTTTAATTCCACCTTTGCACCACAGTTCTGGAATTGGAAGCACTCAAAAACCTGCTGAATGTTTTCCACAATACATCATTATCAGCTAACAGTTTACTCCTAAAATTGACTTTTACTGCCACAGATAATTTTTCAAAGTATAAAGTTTCAACTACTGCAGGCTTCCAATTTTCTTTCCTTATGAAATCCACCAGCCTACAAAATCTGATAAGTCCACTTTTATAATATTCACTGAAGTTTGGGAATGCTTCATTATATGAAAAAAGGACGAAAGGTACATTACATATATGACAAACTTTAGCTGCATCCTAGATCTATTGCTAAATTGGCCTTAACTCAACAAACATTTGCACATATCAAATGTGTCCGACGTGGACTGGAGATCAAACCATATTCAGTTTTATTCCACCTTGACTAAGTGTGGAAACTGAGGCCTAGAGAGCACATATGATTTTTCGAGGTCTACACATCTTAACAAGTACTGTAAAAATATAAGAAATTATTCACCACACAGGATAAGATGAGTTGTATGCAAAAACAAGTCTGTGTAAATTTCTATCACTTTTTGAAAGAAGGAATAAAGTTTACTATTAAAGACCCTCTCCAGGCGAGTCCCTGGTTTAGTGACTATATTTTCAGTGGGAGGAAAGGCTTCCACCACCCCCAGAACACTGCCAGCCCCGGGTGCCCACAGATGCCGAGACACTGGGCTCACCTGTGCCCTCCTCCAGAAATGCCATCCACTCGGCTCAGCCTCCATCGCCGCTCCTTTTGGAACTTATCTCGCCTCCCTCAGCAAGGCAAGCTCCCTCTCTCCAGGACACTCCCAGAACATCATTTATCTTTTACTACTAACTTGCTAATAAATAGGGCTTAATATTTGCTGAATTAAAGGAACATTCCTTTGAGCCAATCCTACCCTAGAAAAGCCCCAAGGGAGCAGGTGGTCAGGACAGCGCCGTGGGGCAGGCTCACTCACCAGGCACTGTTCGGGGTGCTGGGACTTGGGTTAAAGTAACACTTCCTGCCCTTGGGGAGCTGCCGTTCCAGTTGGGGGACAGGGTGGGGGCTGGAGACCTTTAACAAAACAAGGACAGCAGTCAGCTCTGGGGAACGAGGAGTGCAGGCTGGGAGGAGATGCCCAAACCTCCTTCGCCAGCCACTCTCTCCTCCCAGCCCTGACCTCGTGCGGCAGGAGAGCCGCTCACAGCAGTGCCCCAGTTCCTTCATCTGTAAGAAGCTGAGCAGCTGAAGGCCCCCTGAGAAATTAAGGGGCACCGCAGAAGCACCGTGGAGGCACCGTGGAGCAGTGGGCCTGATGCCACTGGGTGGCAAGTCAAAGGCAAACTTTTCCTTAAATTTTTCTCAAAAAGTACTGTCGTTGCTGAAGTAGGCTTTTTGGACCTGGCCAAAAAGGGCCATGAAAACAATGTCTTGGGAGCCTTCTGACACGCTCACAAAGACTGCAGGCAGCTTCACACAGCCTGGACCGGACAGGCAAAGCACTGCACACAGGAGGGCATGCGTGTGGGTGCACATACGCATGCCTGCGTGCGTGCCTGTGTGTGCCCGTGTTCGTGTGTGCATGTGTGCGTGTGCGTGTGCCTGACAAGGGGTCCAGGAATCTGGGTCTGTGCTCCTCCCTCTGGTGTGTGCACTCTACTCTACCTACCCAAGCCCTAGGGAAAAAGAGACCCCGCCCCACCCCGTGGCAGGAACTTACGCTGTGCAGAGAGTCAAAAGGGGTCAGATCTAGAGCAGAAATAATAAAAAGACTGGGAAGCAGTGGAAAGAAGAAATAATGTTAAATGAGCTAAATCACCTTCATCAGGGGAATCTATAGATATCACTCAAGATTGACAAATCATGAAATAAAACTAAAAGTACATAATTTAGCATATAGGGGAACCACTGGGAGCAACAGAAATAAATTGTTAAACTGCACTCCCTCTGTGGAACAAGACAGGGCTGGGGCAAGAAGCTAGAAGTTTTCATCCAAAGCTTGTTCTTTAATTGGCCAATTTACAACACACACACACACACATTTTTTTTTTAATCAGGGCAGGTTGTGTTCTCCCTGAGAGGCACAGGCATATGATGATAAGAGTGGGCTTTGGAGCCAAGCATGAGAGGCTGGAATCCAAGAGCAGCCTTTAATTCGCTCTGCAACCAAGGGGGAAGTTCCTTTACATCTCTGAGCGCAGTTCCCTCAAAAGGAAAATCACCAAAAGCCACAAGATCTCATGACAATACATCTGTGCAAGAGAAGGTGGAGAAAAGAATGGCGTACCAGCCAGACCTGAGGAAAGAAGAGCCCCAAGCAGAACCAGGTTACCTCAAAGGGCTGAGTGCGAGGACCGTGGGCTGGAGCAGCCTGGCCCCTGGGCCTCCAGCTGAGCAGAGCCTCTGGGCCAGGAGTCCACACTGAGCGAGAGAGGAACACAGCAACAGGCACAGGGAGGGCCCACAGGAGCAGGCAGACAGGGCCAGGGAAGCCAAGTGAAGACAGCAGAGGAGAGAGCACTGTGCGACAGAAAAGCCACCCTGGGCTGTGCCTCCTCTGACATTCAGAAAACTCATTTCATATAAAAATAAGCAACAGGAAAGTACTGAGGTCAAATTCCATACAAAGCGACTATAAGAAAAAAGGAGAACAAACAACAGAATAATGGACATTGTTCCTACAAACAATGAAAGCCCCTTGGAAAGATGTCCCCACAGAATAGATCAAAACTGGAGAACTCTATTTCTAAATAAGCTAAAAGATATCAAGAACAATACAGAAGATATTTAAAAATCCATTAGAAAAACTCAGATATCAGGTAACAGAAATCAGGAAAATGAGAAATAAAAAATCATTTCAGAAATGAAGAGGGCCGGCCCCGTGGCTTAGCGGTTAAGTGCGTGCGCTCCACTGCTGGCGGCCCGGGTTCGGATCCCGGGTGCGCACAGAC